ACTACAATACACAAGCAGCAATACAAAAGCCTGGTACTACTTTTAATATTTTTCTACATATTTTGTCGATATTTAAATTGTGCATTATTGAAGTTGGTTGACAAGATACTTATTAAAGTAGCGAAGTTGTCAGCTGCATCATTTGCGTGAAGAAATACGATGATGAAACGGTGCCAAAAGTGTCATGAGCGGGAATGGTTCTGGTTTGGGAGGGGATCTAACTATTTTTTTCCACATCCGAACGCGACGTACTAACTACTACACCACCAGCCCTTGTGCGGCGGGATCTGGCATCATATTTACTGTGTATCTGCCTTTCAATGTGGGCTGCACCTTTATTTTCTTTGCTTTCTCCCATAGTGTAGTTTTTACATATTTTTTCTTTGTTTTAGCTTCTTCTTTGCCGACTTTTCACGGATTTTCTGCGATATAAAGTACCTGGGCGACATCAGCTCTTTCTCCTCACAGTTAGCGTGAAGTTTTTTTCCTGCTCAAAATGGTCATTATTGGAGTCCGAACTATTCCCCTGCCCATCATTCAGTAAAGCTGTAATTGAGCGAATAAAACAAGGAAAAGAAGTTGTTGAATTTTTGAAAGTGTTCTGTTCTTTCAGAGCGAATTGAAGTATGGTTACGAACGTGTAACATCCGTTGTACTGAACCAAAAGTCAGCGATACTTATTATTTCAGTGGTAATATCAATGGCATCGTTGTGGACTTCAACACCAAGTATTGAGTGTTTTTTTTTTTTTTCGTAGCGCTGCTTCAAGTCAACTTTTCGGAGATTCGCTGCACATGTCGTTTTCCTTAGTGTGAATACTATCTTGTGTTGAACTATTCATAAGGCTCAATAATGGAGGTTTGGCAATGGTTTTATTGTAGGATGCATTATGTTCTGCGAGACGATGATCGATGGGAGCGGGCCAGAGAGGAATGTGGACACTTGTTTAGTTATCTGATTACCAGTCGACCGTGCAGATCCTAGTTTTGAACAGTATCGAGCATTTTGGACATTGTCCAGATTTTGCGTTTTGCTTCACTTTTACTATATTTTGTTCTGTTATAAATCACTGGGGCGGGCATTTGGAAATGCGACGGACACGTACGGGTGGCTTCGGAAAGCTAACCATACGTTCGAGTGGCTTTGGAAAAGAAGACATACATATTCAAGCAGGCGATGGATACCAATTGAAGGTATTCAGCTTAGGATCGAGAGGCTTGATGTGGCAGTGCCCGGTGTATGGAAGAATTCAGTAGATTCACTAACTTGGGATACTCACACTAATTATCCGGCAAGTTTTGGTCTT